ATTTTTTAGAAGCATCGAGCATTATGGCAAATTCTAATGGTGATTGGAGAACCAGTTCTTCCAATCTAGCAGCAAACCCTCTAATTTATTTTCAGATAAATGATCAACTTCCAGGAGATGAACATCTTGATAAGGCCTGGCTTAAAAACATAATCGAATTTTGTCAAGAATGTGCTCGTATTTGTATGATGACGTATGAAAAAAATATAATCGAGTTTTGTCAACATCACTGAAACTTAATATATATATTGCTTTATGTTTATTTGAATACTTAATTACATGGTTGTTATGGTTAAAAACCAAAATGTGAATAGCAACTTAAGATATATGTCTCATATCTTACATACAACATTATTAGGTTCGACACATGATATCGAGTCATATGAATTCTTTCTATTTTTGGGATAACTTAATAGTTGGACACACGAAAAGAAATAAATAACCATAATTTTGGTGGTTCTTACAATCCATTAAGACTAGTGATTCAAAATTTATGTTGGATTAACCAGTGTTCTAAAAATCGTTCTAGGCGTTCGCCTAGGCAGCGCTTAGGCGCTAGGCCCATATAGACAGTGGAGATTACCGCTTTTGTCGCCTAAAATATTATGGTATTATAATAATAAAATAATATAAATTTTTGCATATATAAATCGTAAAAATGTTATATATTTGGCTATAAAATGATGAATATAAATATAATATAAATTTTTGTTAGTTATAAATTATGGTTTTTTATATATTTTATCATATATATCTAATATGTTATGTATTTTTGTAAAACGTTTAGACCGCCTATTAAATCGCCTAGGCTCCAATTAGACGTTCTAGGCATTGGGCATTGGGTCACCGTTAACTGAACATGTTATTATGTTGTAGAAAAAAAAACTCATTTGGAAGAGTCAACGTTATCCTTAAGTTTTAAAAAAAAACACACATTAACTATATTGACCATCCACATCGATTATATGGTGCCTGATAGAAACCATATTTCTCATAATTTTGAAGAATTTATCGATTCAAAATTCTCTCGTCCCAATCAAATTTTCTTAGTACAAAACATCATAATGTTTTAGAAAACCTAAAGTTGAGTTTTCTTAAGGGATATAAGACACAATAACCTAATTAATTTTATGATCATGGAAATTTTAATTTGTAATCTTATCAAGTAG